TAATTTTGGCGCGCAGCACAAAATTCTGACGTGAGAAAGACGTGAGGAAGTATTTTAATGTATTCATTTGGTTTAGAATTTTTATTACCCTATCATTAAATGGCCGACAATAAAAGACTTCACAATAGGAATTAAAAATTCACAGGTAGAAAGGGCTATGGCCTTCCTACTAGAAAAATCTCCTAGTTACACCAATGCTGATTGACTTTTCAATCCTATTAATGATTAATGCTTATATAAGGTGTTACAAATCATCGAATGCTCATTACCATGCTTTGCTTAATATGAGATCGATACATATGCAAATGCATGTTCAATACTTTATTTTTAAATTTTGATTCAAAACTTGTTATTATATTGCAAAAATACCTAATATTGAAAAGTTGAAGTAACCGATAATTTTATTCAAATTTTGCTGATTGTGTTATTAAGATAACTCTGAAAGAGCAAGGCGATAAACACATATGCAAAAATATATAGTACAATAAACAAATTTTGTTATATGCACTCTTTCTAAACAGAAAACAAATAAGATTCCTGATGGAAATATTTTGCTGAAAGTACTATGAAATCAATGAAAAGTAAAATAAAAGTTTTTGAAAAATTACTGAATATATTTCAAAATAAATCATAATTTTCCGTATAAAAATTTAATGTAATACTGTAAAATATAAGGAAAGTTAAAATATACTGCTAAAAAGTAATGTGCTAATAAGAGTTTTGAAATATTAGACATTATGAAATTTACTGAATTAAACTGAAAACTGTGTTACTTTTTAATGAAAAATTGCTGAAATATTTATGAAATTAATTTGTGAAATTATTGAAAAATTTTGCGATTTCTGCTGATTTTCATAGAAAATTGACAAAAAATATTGATTTATAATAAATTTTTTATGAATTATTATACTTTGAAGATTACTTATTTCTTTAATTTACTGATGCTTACCGAAATTTTGCTTTGTACAATTTGCTAGGTATTGGGAGTAGGGAAAATTATTAAAGTATCCTTGAAAATTACTGCTATATCGAAAATCTGATTCTTTTACTATATTTGTAAATAAATTTATAAAATTGTTTATTTATACCTGATATAAAGTATAAATACGTGAAATAGTGTAATTTTATAATTACAAAGAAAGTTTTAATTTTATCTTAAAAGTAATTTTTTTTATAAAGTATCGTTATCAAGTTTGTAATGAAGAAGAAATAATAAATAAATATACATAAAAAGATATACTTATGTATACATTCCTGGTCAATACCGAGCATTAGTTACAATACATCTATGTTATAATTTCGTAGCCAACAATGCAAATACAATATAACACATGGTTATATTGCATTTACATTGTTGAGTACGAAATTATAACATAGATGTAATGTAACAGATGCTCGATGTTGACTACAGTTACAGTCTTATTAGCACATTACTTTTTAGCAGTATATTTTAACTTTCCTTATATTTCACAGTATTACATTAAATTTTTATACGGAAAATTATGATTTATTTTGAAATATATTCAGTAATTTTTCAAAAACTTTTATTTTACTTTTCATTGATTTCATAGTACTTTCAGCAAAATATTTCCATCAGGAATCTTATTTGTTTTCTGTTTAGAAAGAGTGCATATAACGAAATTTGTTTATTGTACTATATATTTTTGCATATGTGTTTATCGCCTTGCTCTTTCAGAGTTACTACAGTGTATTTTTTTTCTCTCTCATTGTATGCATTTTAATGAACTACAACGAACAGTGCTGAATAACTTTTTCCTGAAACTGGATACATAATTAAATTTCATCAAAAATACTTCAATATTAACAAAAAAAAAATTTTTCTCTGAATTTTTACTGAAATATTGATGAAATGATGATGAAATGAAGTCAATTGAGAGATTTTCAAATATATTTCAGCAAAATTTCGTTATATCTTCAGAAAAATATTTCCATCAGGGATGAGAAATTGTAGTGATATTTGATTCGCTAAAAATAATAAAAATATGTACATTATAGTATACTATACCTGCATACCACATGACTCTAATTATGCAATTGTTTCATATATCTTTTCATATACAGATTATATTAAATAAAAGCAATTATCCAATCATTTTAAAAATAACGTATCTATAATTTCAAAGTGTTGCAAGCATTTCAAAATCTATATATAAAATTTCATAAATTTTTCTTTATATTAATTGCATTTTATGATCTATTATTTATCCAGATTTTTTTTAATCTAACATTACATAGATTAAATGTGCACTTTCTCAAAAAAACTTTAAGAAAATTAAACTTTTATTTTAGATTTATAAGAAAGTTTATCTTGCGTTAATTTCCTGAAAGAAATCAATCGCATTTTATTGTTTTACTTCTTTTTTCTATAATTTATATGAAAAAATTATTTGCGATTTATTTGGGACAATCTGTAAGTAGTATGTTTTTGTCAAACTGTTGTGTGGCCGTTCATATAACGCGCCACTGCGTCGCGTGCCAGCCTCGCAATGGCTCATGCGGATAGGCCTTAAGGAAGAGACCGCGTGACAGCGCTGGCGTCTGCGTACACCTACCTTCTTGCGGGGGAACTCTCTCTGAGTTTGAGAGATGCATACAGGTTGTACTAATCACCACGATTTGCATTAAAGCTCATATTGTTGTTATACTGAGTGTATTCCTCACTTCCACGCCCACGCGGCACTGTGTGCTAACGTTATACACAACACAAACCATTCGCATAAAAGAGATCACATCACACTAATGGTCTTTTTTTATGTTATAGCACGCTCGTTTCGTTGCTATCTCTTTCCTGCTTATTTTTCTGTCTGGTTTTTTTCAGTGGGTTTTACATGCTATCGCCTCTCTGGAAACATTATAACGCGATAATTGTACACTCATTATGTGCAGAATAAAAATAGTAGTTTTTACGATAATTATCATAGTTCGTCGTTCGTATAATACATATAAATTTGAAAAACGTTTCTCTGATTAGAACATTTTATACTATCACATTATTCGTTATATATCTGTTATAATGACTTTTTTATTAATGTACATTTTCCTATATACTTTATAGTACGTTAACAAACATTACGTTAGAATTTTCTAAAACCATTGCGAAGTAACGGAACTACATTCGATTACTTACTACTAACGATTCCGCGTTTGTTTTCTGGAAAAGAACTCAGAAGATTCTCAATGTTTAAATGAATTATTGCGTCTTAACAAGCAAGTGACAAAGTTTATCAATATTACATACTAACTGCTAAATTGACGAAACAACACATCTCACCACGCGCGAATTCTTAACAATCGGTGATTTTCTCGTGTCAATCGTATTCTTTCATTTTTCCTTATTCTTTCTTTACATTTTGGATCTATACGTATATTTGAAAGAAACAAATTTCTCTCAGTGTAAAACGATAATTAAAGTCGTGGGTCTATATAAAAATTTTAAACTGCAGCAGAAATGTCAAGTACATGTAACGTTAGCTGAGGAGTTGTGATCAATACTCTTTCTGGCAAGAATATGTTTCTGTATTTAAAACCGCGCTAACCTTCGAGAATGCAGCAGTAAAACGGGCGGCGTTTGATTATTTTTATCAGAGGCACACGAGCTTCGCGCATCATCGACGTTTTAAAATAATTGTCATCATGTTGCAAGAAAACTGTTCGTCTAACCCGTGCTATTATTATTATTATAAAATATAAAAATATTTTTCCAACACCAAATCTTTCAATTAATCAATACAATTACATATCAATAACACGATTGAAAAATTTTATATTTAATTTTATAATTAATCGTTAATCACAATATATTTTTGTAATTAAAGGTTTCTTTTTATATACTATATTTTTAAATAATTGCTACACACACATAATAATGAGTAATTAAACATTGTATTTTGACGAAGAGCAAATGATAACAAAATAAAAATGAGTCAATACAAATGCGTTTCGCCGAGATAGATGTCATGGATCTTTTGTCAAAGTTCTGTTCATGGCGAAAAGTATCAATGAAGCAAAGCACATCGCACAACTGAAAATAAATATCTATAATGCAATGGCCTTGTCGTATAGGAAAAACTACTAGTAAGATTAAGCACTATATAATGCTGTCGTTGGTTTCTTCAATGTTATACTTATATGACATAACTTGAGATAACCAAAGAAATTAAGGTTTCACATCAACATTACATAATATATGCCAGAAATAAGACATTTAGAACATTGCTTCGTAAAATTACTTAATATAACACTTTTATTTAAAATTATGTCACATTTTTTACGAAAAATAAGATAAATACGGTGAACTAATTTGCAATCTATAATGTTCATGTAATATGTTCTAAAAAAAATGAAATAAAATGAAATAAAATGAAATAATAAAAAAAATATGAAAATTTTTCGATTGGATTTTTTTGTAATTTAACTTATTGTCGAACGTATATAAACAAACTATATTGTTCATAAATATTTAAGCTTTCAATTTGATAAATAAGCATTTTGAAAATTTTCAAGTTTTTAAGAATGACAACGATTATAACACGTAAATAATCACTTGTTCATATATTGCTTATATGGTAAAATTATTTAATCAAAGAAACAAAATTGTTATTGCTGTCATTATATACAACATAAAATTACATTTAAAAAGTACTAATTAAATAATAAGTAAAAAATTTATTTTACTTTGTTTAATATAATGTTAAGATGTTTAAACATTTACGCATTATTTTGTTGAAAAAAATATTGTATAGCAAAATAGACGCGACAAAAGCGTTCACCGTATACGAAGAAAGTTATCAGGTCACATGCGGTCAACCACATGACTCTATCAACGTTCTCGATAGCAGTCCCATGTTACTCGGCGTATTACACATCGTGCTCTCGACAAATCTTAAATCACTGCTATTATTAATTAATCACACGACACGTCTGTCTAAAATCGAAATATTTTGCAAATTTGTTTTGAATCGACATCGTATGATTTATGCTTTGAGATTCTAATATCGAGCTCTTGTTTTTCATGTCAAGTACTTTCTCTCCTTCTTGGTTCATAGAAAAATCAAATCTTACACAACTCTACCATAGGATATGTACAGCTTACCATAGATTAAAGATACAACTTGCGTTTCGCTGACAATTGTGTAGAGTCTAAGCTAAAATTAATAAAAAGTGGAAATTAATGCACGTTTAAAAAACTATAATCTATCTTTCGTTCTCTTCGCGGAATGTTTCATTGGTCATCAGCGTTTGCACATTTAATACGCCCACTTTCTACTGCTTCCTTTCTATTCTACCGCTCTCCTTTTGCATTCTCTAATTCTGCCCTATTATTTGCATCATGCAACTAGTTACACAGGATATCCGTAAAGGTTGGAATCAAATGTATAGTGTATTAACGAAGTTCCCATAGATGAATAAAATTTATATAAACTCATGTTCGAAAATGTTTTATTCCAAAGTTATAAATGTTCAAAGATTCATGAGTAGAATTGTTTGATAATTATTTAATTTAGATTATACTTTATCGGCTTGTTTATTGCTGAGATGTATTGTAGGAGAGTATTTTTCTAATTGTAAGTAAATTTTTTCGCTTTATTCACTTATTCACTTATTGGATTCCATTAACACATTGTATAAATTTGATTCCAACTTTTATGAACATCCTATCTCTTTAACCCACTAATAAAACGCGCATATAAACGATGTTGTCGTTTAGATACCTGTGAGATTTGACTTTTACAAACACACACGCGCGCGCGCGCAGTGTGTGTGTGTATGTGTGTGTAAACATGTGCGTGCGTGTGAATGTGTGTAAATGTGCGTGCGCGCACAACATACACATCTAGATATAGATCAAGAAAAACGGAACTTGTTGCACATTACATTACTAAGAGCACTTAAACCGCGCAACACTTATCTGCGTTATAAAAATACGCAATATTATTACAATAAAATAATTATCGTAGTATTCTTATTTCCATTAACTGTGATTACATTGTCGAAAGTTTGTTATAGCCTTGTACATTATCACAGTGTACGATAATTTCCTTCATTGCATTGTCTGTAGAATTTCCACGAAAATACAGCGATTGCCATCAGGCATGTAGTAAGAATAATGCCACCTGCAAAAAAAATTACATATAATTACTTTAATACAATAAATTTTAATAAATAAACATGACAAAAATATATTAAAAAATATTTTTGATATAATATTAATACATTTATAACAATTCAAACTTTTATATATTAAATGACATGAGAAATAGCATAAGAGCTAATAGCTAAATGTTATATGTCAATATTTCTTCTATTTACACGATTGTCTTTGAGAATACAAATACAATCTTTTATGTATTATGTTTTACTTCAACTATGATAATTAAAGTATTAAGTAAATAATAATTAAAGTAAATTAATGTAAAATTTCAATGCAAGTTCAATTTGTGTTTTGTCTAATCATATTTATCATCTTATAGAAGATGTCTATTAATTTATAAAAATTATCTCTTATATACCAAAGAAACTTAGCCCATCAAAATGACGATCCTTAGAAGAGGACGGTGGAAGTGGTACTGCCGTCGTTTGTGATTGAGTCGTAGTAGGTATTAAATTTGAAGCATTGGTGCTCGTTACCGGTGGTGTTACAGTAGTCTTTTCGGTTAATTTAGTAGAGATAGTAGATGTAGGAATAGTAGATGTATGAGTAGGAGGTGCATGAGTAGTAGATGCTAAAGTAGTAGATGTAAGAGTAGTAGATGCAGGAGTAATAGATGTAGAAGTAGTAGATGTGGAAATAGATGCATTAGTATTAATTTGAGGCAAAGCAGTTGTTGTAATCGGTACTGTTGTATTATTAACAACACTAGTATTAATATTATTTTGTGGCTCCACTGTAGTGCTTGACGATATTTGTTTTTCAGTCACAGACTTTCCCGGTGCTGCACCTGAATACATAAAAAAAATCCACAAATTACTTTCCTAACACATTACCAACTACTTCAGTTATAGTACACATTTCATATCACTGCTGAGAATATTTTATCAATGTTTCAAAAATTTTTATTTAATAAAATAACTTATGATTTTTGTTTTCTTTAAATGTACATAACTTAAGATCCAGAGTTGCAATGATGTTATTAATTTATTGTGTTTATATTAAGAACTTATTGGAATAAAGTACAAAAAGGTAGATCTATAATATGTTAACAAATAAGACAAATAAAACAAATAACTTAAATATATTTCAATTATGTATAGTAAATAAAGACTTAAAATTATCTTTGGATAAATTTCCGAAAAGCTATCATCTTCAATTTGGCTGATTTTCAGCCTAAATACTTATTTTATCTAGTAAATAATATTCCCAAATGGATTTTTGGCGCAAATGCCCCCCTCCGCCCCTCAACCACCCTTAAAGGTAAAACTGTTTTTGTTAATTATTTCAGAAAGTGTTTATTGTATGGAAAAAGTTGTCAAACAAAAATTGAAGCTCATAAAATGCTCTACATATTTTACCTAACTCCAATATTTTAGTCGTTATTATCAAAAATCTGGAGGCATTGTGTTCCGCCCCTCTGCGGGGGACTCCACCATCAAAAAACTATACACATAGGGTCAGAATTGAATCTCACTTTGCGAAGAAAGTCATAAACCCATGTGGAACCTCGCTTCGCGTTGTAAAGTGTATGCATGGATGCAGTGGGTGCCGCCCCTCCTATGGGGGCTTTTGCAAGTTTTTTGATAATAACGACTAAAATATTGGAGTTAGGTAAAATATGTATAGGACCTTATTTGTCAAACTTTTTATGAGCTTCATTTTTTGTTTGACAACTTTTTCCGTACAATGAATACTTTCTGAAATAATTAACAAAAACAGTTTTACCTTTGAGGATGAAGGGGGGAAGGGGGGCATTTGCGCCAAAAATCCGTTTGGAAATATTATTTACTAGATAAAATAAGTATTTAGGCTGAATATCAGCCAAATCGGAAGTGATAGCTTTTCGGAAGTCCACCCTTATCTGTTTTCAACTATTAATTGAATAAATATATTAAAAACATTATTTATCTATTTTTGTAAACTAATCTTTTCTCAGAAGTTATGTGTGTGTGTGTATGTATGTATGTATATATATAAAACAAGTGTATATATCATTTGTATTCTAACATTAAATGAAATTAGTAATTTATATATAAACATATATATAACATTACGTGTCTTTGGCAAATATTTATAATTGATTTATTAATATAATATTAGACATAAAACAAATTCATATTTCTATTAAAATTTTATTCCCTGATTTTTTAAAATCTCTCCAGAGAATCTCCAAAAAATTTCGCTAAACTTTATCTGTCGTGATAGTTTCTCAATTTTACATTAAGTAACTAACAAATCATGTAATTCTTTCAATTTTTGTATGGAATAATTCTGTATCAATTTAAATTTTGACATCTTACATAGAAATACAAAATAATAATAATGATAATAAAAATAAAAAAGGCGGAAATTATTTCGATCATTTCAAAACCTACCAGAATGTATATAACAAAAAAAACTACAAAAACAGGAATTATTCCGATCGTAACGTTTCCGACTAGATACATGCACAAAGTATGTATACATCAATTATTGACAGTCACATTAATAAGGTTGTTTTCCAGTAAGACACAAGTTGACACAAATCGACACAAGTATCACTCTGTCTTTGTTCGATATTCAATGAGCAACAGAGAGAATAATACTTTTGTGTCAACTTGTTTTTCTTGCTGGAAAACAACAGAGTGATACTTGTGTCGATTTGTGTCGACTTGTGTTCCTTGGTGGAAAACCACCTAGGTTTGTCGCGTCGCATGCCTCAACATGCTCCAATATGCTCCAATCTATAGTATTACGTTACGTATGCTATAGATTGGGGCATGCAATGCGAACAAATTATGTTGAACGAAGCATTAATTCATCGTGCTAGTTGATCGTTATCGTGCGACATAACCAAATCTAGAAAATTCGACAAATAGTCGACGGAAGATCAATAGCTACAAGAATCCGCTTGAAACCGCTGTTGTCGCTGCTTAATAAAGGTCACGAAAAAGGAATATATTATAGAACCATGAATTTGTTCATCTCAATTTTATACTTTCTTGCATTTTTCGAGATTGGAAAACGAAATGTTTATATTATGAAAATGGACAGAACATATTGCGGTTATGCAATTCTAAAAAAAGTTTTGATTTTTTTATGTTTCTCGAAAAAACGTTAAATACTATCAGTAATTCGACATAGGTAGGCGTTGTGCGGAATAAAATCAAGCCGCTGTCTAATCGTCATCCATTATCACACATAAATCCGTTACTACGCGCGTAAGAATGACGCATTTTATCTGTATGACGATGGTTTTATGCCTATGTACACGTTCACAATAATGTCGGAAATCAGAAAACTCACCGTTGGCCAGCACAAATAAACTCATCGTTGCACACAGTAAGGCGCAAATCACGTAAGTCGACTTCATTTTAGTACGAATAGTATCGAAAATTGTGCAGAATCAAAGTTTTCTCGAATGTTAAGAATGCACACGGCAACGATGTACAACACATACAACAAACACCACTGCTAGGCCGGAATGTGACCAATATCTCGAATGCCGGACTTCGAATGCTTCAAGCTGCTTGCAACTGCTACGACGCTCGATGCAAAAATAGGGATGCCAGTTTTCCCCCCAAGAGCAACATACACACACCGAGGTCCGTACGTCACGCGTCCGTGTGTGCTCGGCGTTCGGCTTGCAGAAGAGAGTGGACGTACTGTTTTCCACCTCCTTCCTACCAAACCTAGAACCGAAACGGCAATGGTGTTCGTCTTGCTCGCTTTTGTACTGAAAGAATACACAAGCGTCGCTTTTGCCGTTCACTTTGGCGCTGTCAGTACAATTGGTCTGTTCTTTATAGCTGAACTGGCTGGTTCAGAGTTTATCTTTTTCTCTCCACATTGGAAGGAGAAAGATAAACTCTGAACTAGTGCAGCCAATTCAGCTATAAAGAACAGACCTAATAATGACGTCATAATTCGAAAGCGTTTACATCATCATTTCTCGCTTAATTCGCTTTTTCGAACAAGGTAAAGCATTGAAAGAGATTTCCATACAGGAAAAAATTACGATATTTAATTAACATCTGATGAAGTAAAATTTTGAAGAAAGTAATTATTTTATTTAGGATCATTTTTCCCAATGTCCGTTAACCGACAGTTTCAATTTGTTAATAGAATTGCTAATATGCAGAATAAAATACTGTCATTAAAAGTAATGAAAATTTGAAATTTTTTTCTATTTTAATGACGATATTTTATTCATATTAACAATTTTGTCGACAAGTTAGAACCTTCGGTTAAAATTAACCGACGTTGGAAATAGTAATCCTTAATATTACAATAATTTTCTTAGTTAATCTCTTTTAGTAATTTTTCTTACAAATGTTATTAATATTTTTTATCTAATTACAAATATTAAAAATCATAATTTATTGCTATTTTAACATATTAATTATCTAAAATATTATTTCTAATATTCAAAATAATATTCAAAAGTATAATATAAATAAAAAAATCTTTTTTTATTTTTAGATTTAAATTTTGTAGCACAAAAACTTCAAGAAGCCAAAGATATATTTTTATTTATTGAAGACAAGGAGAAGGAAAACAGTTAACACTGCATAAAATTTCACAGTCATCTTCTTTACTTTCCTCTAAAGAAAATGAAAACATTATATTATAAAACTCATTCACTGTTAGCGCATAAATACACCCACACAACACGCATGCCTTAATGACGTTCTATAGTCGTCTTTTTTATTACGTCTTTGAGACATTACCTAAAGACGATGTACAGACGTCTGATGGATCTTTTGTAACACGTCACTAAAAGGACTTACAAAGTCGTCTGCTATGGCAATTCTGAAAGAGATGCATAACCTACAATTTCATTCAGTTATGTCTAATATAGACCGATGAATGATCCTACTTGTGGAGTGGATAGTTTGACTTAAATAATTTTTTTTAATTCATAAAAAAATGAGCCACAAGTAAAATTATCCTCCGATCTAGACAACGTATTAATTGTAGAGTGCTTGAATAAAATATTGTAAAACAAAGGCATCAAGGAATCCAAGTTGATGAGGCGATGGACTGTCAAGTAATAATAATAAGGTAATATAAAGTAATTTGAAATTATAGTTTATATTCTATAATAATAATTTTTTAACCAATATAAGTCTCTTACGCTCTGTTTGACGTTGCTAGATTAGATTAACCACTTCAATCAACCGGGTCAAAAATGACATTTTTATTCCAAGGTAATCATTGTTTTTTTAATTAATTACTATTTTAATATATAAAACATATAAAATTATAAGTAAGGGTAAATTAAAATTATAATTTATACTCTATAATAATAATAACAATTTTGTAACCTATAATTTTATTGCAGTATGCTTGAACTCAGTGAGTAAAATATTAGCAATATGCCAGCAGTGTGGCAGCAGAAACGCAGCGAACAAGCGGAAATGAAATCGAGCATGATCTGTCGTCACAATGTGAAAAAATTTATACTACAAAAATGCTAAAAACCCGATAAGTATTTGATTCTTAATATATATCTGTGGCTTGGTAAAAGAAGTGACAATGTCAATATTCATTAACTTGAGATATGTCTGTTAGAAATATGTGAGTTAAAAATTTTTTTAGTTTATGATTAAATAACTTGATGTATAAGTGGAAGCTATTACCTTCATTTTTATTTAGATTTTGACATTACCATTTCTTGAAGACACAATATACAAAAGTTTTCAAACACATTTTTAGTCTTGGTTCATTTAAGCAGAAATTTGATATTGACACTTTTTGTACCAAGCCATAGATATATATTATATATGAAATAATATTATGAAATACTGTACTTATATTTATAGTATACGTATAATATAATTCATTAAATAGATGTATTTAATGATATTATTACGTATAATTTAATACTATTATTGTGTGTAATTACATATACTTATTTATCAGGACATTGCATGTGAGAGCACTCTTGGTGATACAAAATGATTACCTCCTTTACCTCTGATGGCCATAGAAGATTATTGCAAATTTGAAGAGAAGTTTCAACAAGACAGGGAAATCAGAAAACAGTTTGTAAGCTTTTTATTCAATGTTGCTTTAAAACTAAACTATCATGGCGCATTTCAATATAAAATTTCAATATAGAATTTAGTATTCTATCTGAATAAATTAATCACTATTTTACATCTGGTTTTTATGTTACAGAAAAAGAAAATTTCAACAATTGAAGGACATATGCTAATCAGACGAGAAATATTCTGAAATTTATTTTAGATAATAACGTTACAAAAAATAGTCGCGAACAGGAAAAAAACAATCAACACCAACGAAAGACACAACATTTGCTAGCATTATTACAGGTAATTAAAAATAAAAATATTATAAACATAAGTTTAAAGAGTATGTTATATATATATATTATTGTAACGGGGGGGCGTTCCTCTT